CACCTCTCAAAACTGTATGAAATTAAACGTGAAATATTCTATAAAATTATTATTGCTCAAACAAACCATAATTTTTATAGCCTTCAATTTTGTTTGGTTACAGAGCTATCAAATAGAAAATCAGACCCCTCCTGCCACACCCACCTGTCACATCCTGTCTTTCACAATTCGTTGATAGTTCTGTCTTACATTTCATTATATTTTATCTATAACCAATAGAAAGTCAAGGTTTTCATCTATCAAATGACATATTGTATAACGTTGTATTCTGAACAGCTAATCATCAATTTCAATCAGAGTAGCAACATCTTTCCCGTGGGAAAGTTAACAACTAGCTTGGATGAATGTGTAACAACTCTTGTCGCATAGTTATAAAGCCAGGAAACTTTTGAGAGGTAAGTGAATTTGTCTACTATTTGCATGTCATTAGTTTATATTCTTTGGTGCATTATTTAATTAAATAAAAATTAAGTGTTTTACTATAATTACTATTAAAAAAATCAGACTTAACTCTCGTTGACAATCGAGGGCAAAAAAAAAAGAAGATTCAGTAAGTACTTTATTTCTTGTTTTTCATATTTATTCCTTATTTATGATTATAAAAGTAACTAAAATGAAAAATATGTATCTTTTTAAGTTATTTAAGACTGGATTAGGTAAAATAAGTAATAATAATAATATGTCAAATGGTTCATGAGGCATGTTACCTGAGTGATTTACAACTTATAATGGCATGGATAGTAGTTGGACACGGTTCAAAGGGCAATAAAACAATAAAACAAAATTATAAATAGATGTATAATGTTATGAACTTAGAGCTACTTAGGATAAATGAATATAGTTTCATGTTACAATTTAAAGTCGTTCTAAGAAGAAAAAAAGGTTAAATTAGGTTTATTTTGATTTGTGTGTGGTTACGAGGTAGGTCGAATTGACTGATCCTGTTTTAAGATAGGGTAGAGAAAATAATAGATAAACTATAAGGATTTAGTGAAAAAAATGTTTGAAATGCATTTAGGAGGTTTTAGGGATTGCACAAAGGAAAGTTGAGATTTTTGAGATGACAAAGTATTTTTAATTTTAACATGAAAATTACTTTGCACACAAACTATTCAAAACAAATACTCAATATATTCATGGACAAATCTTTATTTTATGTTATTAAAAATACTTCACTGAGAAATATGACTTTGTATGGGAAAGTGAGAGTTACAAGTATTAATTTATAAAGAAGTTAAACGAGTACAAAATGTCATGTGACTTGGTCAAATTGACAGACCCCATGTCAAGAGAGTTAATATACTTGCCCTCCAATCAGACTCCTCTCCAGAGTTTTGCGTTCTTCAGACCATTCCTTGTTGTGTCCTGCTCATTTCTCCATATTGGCTTGCTCAGATGTAGTTCCATCTACTCTGGTCCTTGGTGGAGCAATGTTCCTGCCCTTACCTCTGTCCCAGTTTCTCCTCCAACAACTGTGATCTGACATGGTTCATTCAGAAGTCACCAAAGTCCATCTATATGCATGGCTTTTGTATGGTCTCATGCCTCAGTTTAGGGACTCATCTCTAGTGTAGCATCTTTCCTTGCCCATACCTTTGACCTTCTTCCTTGTCTGTGTACCATAAGCATTGGTCTTTCTTAAAACTTTGGTCCATTCACCATGGATTCCACCCATCCCGTCTTTCTGTTCCTCATCTGTCTTAGTTCTTCACCTAGTTGTTTCATCAGGGTTGTTTGCCCATATCATCTGTTGCTAGTTATAAGGCTGCTGTGTCGAGCACCTTCCACTCTACCACTTCTGGAATGCCTTCACCTCCCCAGTTATTTACCTCCTTTCTGTTCCTTTCATCTGGTCCATCCATTTGTTTTGCTGGATTGGAAACTTAATGTTGTCCTTCATGCCCTGTGTAGTTCTCCTTTTGAACCCATTGCAACGTGTTGTGTTTTTTGTACCATCTTTCCCTTCAGTCCTATTTCCTGTCATGGAGTCATTGTTGTTCCAACATTTATGCCATTAATGTTTTCTGCATCCTTTACCAATTCTCATGTGTTATCCTCTATCTGGATCAGCCTTCCTTCCCAAGACGTTGGTTGCCTGGGAAGGTTGTTTAGCCTTTTCTCCTATTCCCTTGCCTTCCATTTCCCATCTGTACTCCCTACTATGTTATGAGGCTCGTATTGCTTCCTTTCGAGGTTCTCATTCCCATCTATTTGTTCCATGGAATTCTTCTGTTTCCAGTGATCTATTGCCTGTTGCATTCACTGTTTGGTTTCATCAACTCATATGAGTGGCGTATTGTGACTTGTCTATGAAAATTCACCATTTACATAATGTTTCTTTGCACCAATTTGTCATCTAACTATATCTTTAGCTGCTCGAATCCACCGTTCTTTGGAAGAGATCATTCAGGCTGATATGGGAACAACTCCAAATACATGTCACACATTCTCTGCATGGCCTGTCTTCCTTGGGCAGGTATCACTTTCCCCCTGTGGAAATTCTGGATGTTTTTTGCCTGGGAGGGCCACATTTGTTGATATCATTATCTTATACAAGGCATTTCCACTGGATGTTTTGCTGGGATGGACCACACTTGACATACTCTGATGCAATCCAAGGCACTACCCTTTGCACATGCTTATACAAGCCTGTTGTTGCTTCAACATTAGATTTTCCATGTTTGTTAACACCATGCTATTTCAAGTCATGATTTTACAGCACTTTTCCACTGATTTGAGGCTGAATGCATTGGTGCCTGCTAATTCAGTTCTGCTCTCTTTCTATTTGTTTGTTAATTACTAGAAAAAGAACATACCTGTTCCAGAAGTAGTGCTATACCCCAAAGGTGTCCTTTCTTTTCATATTCTTGCACACCTGTTCTTTCAGTGTGGTCATTTTCTGCTTGATTGAAAATTGATGTGCCTTCACTGGCCCCTCCACCTTTGCAATGTGGGATTCTAGCTTTGGGTGAGAGGAAGTAAGACTGTTTTGAAACTTAACATTTTCTAATCTGAAAATGTATTTCAGATAGGTACTTACCTCTGCTTGCCCACTTCCCAACCTTTTTCCCCACTGATATCCCAGTTTTTCTGGTTTATACCAGCCAATTCTAGAAAGTGAGAATTACTCTAGTATAGTAGAGTGAGCTAGTTGCGCTAGTATAGAGGGTTCAGTATGATTGGTGGAGGGTAGTCACATGATCAGCACATGTTCTGAAATGGTGCAAAACTGATGGGGTATAAAAGGCAAGTGTGCTGTTAGTAAAAAATTTTAGCAATGCTTAGAGGGTAGTCCAGGATTGAGACAGCTTTGAGTGAGAGGCAGTAAGTACCTATTGGGAAAAAAAAAACATTTGATAGAATTAATTAGGAGGTTTTAGAATTTACCCAAATGAAATTTGAAAATTTGTAGATGAAAATTGCTTTGTACTTGGAGCAGTCAATATTCTGATTTCATATATTCACATACAAATCTTTAGTTAAGATATTCAATTAAAGTCTGATTTTACATGTACAAAAAACTTGTAATGTTTACTGAAAGTTTGCCAAATTTCATGAAAATACACATACCATGTTAAAAGTTGTATAGTATGGAAATTGGTTACTTTGGGGTTAAAAGGATGCTAAGATTTAGTGATCCTGTATGGAAAGAGTTGAACCAGTGTATCTCAACAAACCTGGCACAAAATATAGCTTATAATTTAAATGTTAGTATTATCTAAGTTTTAATATATTAATTTCAAAAGGTAATAAAACAATCTTCACTTCTTTATGTCAGAGATATGTCTGCTCTCCAAGTTGCCTGTTTTAGATTTTCTTTCTTCCCTTATATGATTTTCTCAGTGTCCAACTAATTAGAAATACTACAGATATTTCAAAACCAAAATATAAATTTTAGAACCTCTAATCTTTGCTTTACTGAGATATAAGAAGAAATGTGAAGCTTGCATGAAACATCCCTCCCATGTCATTTTTTTCTTTCCAAAAGTGCCCGTAATTCTTTCTGACATTGCCATTGGATTATTTATAATCGACAGAAAGAGCAAGTTTTCTCTAGAAGATTTTTTAATACTGTTATTTTGTTTTGGCATTTGTTAGATATTTGGCCTCAGTTTCATTGTTTACAATCATGTTTTTCTGTCAATTTGCTAATGGAATTGTTTAAGTTAGTTAAAAACCCATTTAAATTATAGTAGTCTTGGGACATTCAGTTCCAGCACTCAGTATATTTTTCATGTTTAAAATGTATACTTGAAGGAAACATTGATTATTTGTGGAGAACCAACATAGTATGAAAAAACTAATACTGAGGAAGTTTGTTTTCAAGTAATTACTAAAATAAGCTCCAATACTAATCTAAGTCAAAAATTTCTTGTTTTGTGTGTATATTTAAGTCTTTTAACAAAATTAACTGAAATGTAAAAATTAGAAACTTATTAGGTTAGATAACAAAGTAAATGGGGGGGGGGGGGAGATTTTCATGTTGGACTTGTACTGATCAAGCTGTATTACTTTTGATGTTGCAACAAAGTCAGTCAAAGGCTCTTGCAATCGAGTGAAAACTCAGCTACACAAATAATTTATCATATGGAGAATAATTCCAGGGTTTTTACTTCATTTTTTTGGGTTATTTGCTCTTTCACTGTGTTTCTGAATATGATAAATTAGTAATTACTTTCCAGACTCCAGAATGGGCAGAAAGTGATTGTTGCCAGCGCTGTACTCGCCCTTTTTTCTGGAATGTTAAAGCTATGATAGACCAGAAGACTATTGGTATTAGACAGGTAATTCTTACAATTATTTTAACTTTTATACACCCATACACAAAACCCACACTTTTTTGGATTGGAATTACAGCTTATAGGTTAATCTTTAAATTTTGATAGTTTGTTTGTTTTGTTATTCAAAGCTCAGATACATCTGTTTCAGTTACATTGTCACATCCATACTTGAAATAGTCACATTATTCACATATAATATGGGTTGTTGAAAAGTTGATCAAACTGAGTATAATTTCACATGTTGTTTTAATATAAAGGTCTATTTATTCATTGGTTTTATACTATTTACCAACAGTATTACCAAGTGGTTTATTTTTTATATTTCTTCAGAGAAAATTTGTGATTGAAGCAGATATAATGATAGGACTGTTTTGTTTTGCTGATTCTTAAATTGCTCTTAAATCACCTTTTTATGATGTTGAATTATAAAAATATTCTTATAAATACATCACCCACATACTTTATCTTTGACTTTATTTTTGTCTTAAATAAAGAACTGCAAAATGCTGTTTTTACAGACTTTGAAACTGAATTAAAATTATATATTTTAGATAATTTCACTGAACTGTTAAAGTAATTGTAAAAAATTTAAATTTGTTATCTTTCATTTTTTTTATACAAGTTATGGGAGATGTAGTTTTTGTTTTCTTACACCTATAACATTAAAAGTTCCTTTGGATGACATGCCTTTTTAGGAAACTAGCTGGGCTAATGAAAAATGATGTAATTCAAAAATTGCAATGTCGTACATGTCATCTTATAAAAGATTCTGTTTTGGCTACTCTTATAGAAAACAGTGATTGGACTGTATAGAATTACCCAATGTGAAAATAAAATTCAAACCTTCCAAAATTACTATTCAAGAAGTGCAAATAGAAATTGGCATTTCTCAAAAACATGGTCTCTTTGTTAGGACCTTAGACTCAAATCTGCAGGTCATGGTACCACCATATGTATAAGAAAGTCCTGCTAGCTTTATAATTTAAATCAATAAGTTATGTTGTAAATATGGATGTAAACCTTTCTTGCAGCACCACTGTAGGAGATGTGGGAAAGCTGTGTGTGATGCGTGCAGTACTAATCAGAGCTCTATTCCTACAATGGGCTACGAGTTTGATGTCAGAGTATGTGATGAATGCCATAGTGTAATTACTGATGATGAGTAAGTTTACACAACATTTTGTTTAAATATCTTCTCAATTTAACTGATTTGTTAACTTTATTGTACTTTGGTAAACATGATGGTGGTGATCTAGAATCAGTTGTTTTTAACCTTTTTAATTACCTGACTGTAACTATAATTGACATAAATATGTCAAGAAAGAACAGATATTTGTGTTGTATGATTTCAGAGTTACAAAATGTTTCCAGTCCCCCACATTAACAGTTGTTTTTAGTGATACAAGTCATTTTCAGTTTTATGTATTAATGTTATAATGAAAATCATTATTTTTATTTTTTATTATTGGTACAAGGCTTACTGATCTACGATATAGCAATTTTCCACACAACAAGGCCAGAAACAAAAAAAGTATTTTACATAAAAGACATAAGTAAAACTAAGATATAAACTACAATGTGGGAAAGGTTAAATATACTATACTAAGAGCGACATTTGTGGAAGAAGGAACCATACTCTTTAGGGATATATCAGCTATCAGATTTAATTTTTCTCTTGGTAAGCCTTACATATGGAGAAAAAAATTAAGGGCAGGTATTAGTTTATAAGACCACAATCCCTCCAGAACTAACAATACTATTCACTGTTTGCAGCCAATTATAGGAAGTTGCTCCTAATGGAATAGAATTATAAAAATAAGTTACTACAGTCATACCACTGGAGGTGGTAATAAAGTTATTTCCTGAAGTTGGCATTCCAGCACTCATAATAGCCACATATACCCATATGAACACCATATAAAACCTAAAATGTGTGTAGATCAAAAGTGACTACTATCATAATAATAATAATAATAATAATAATAATTGATTTTTTTTTCCATAAATTCCAACAAATAACATTGAAAACACCTAATCTTGATGTTCTAATAGTTACTAATGATAACCTTGACACAGTTTGCAGCAAAACACGCATGATTGCAATTAAACTGAAATAACCAATATTCAAAATAAAGTAAAAGAAATATTTTTGTTTTCCAGTGTGATCATTTTAGACAGTTTTATACAAAGATTCTGTAATATTATTTCTAGGTGTACTTACTTTTGAGTATTAAAAAAACTGCAATAGAGTGTGTATAAATAAGTTACTAAAATTCCTATGCAAGATAAAATGACTGCTGGCTTTTTAAGTACATGAAGAATTGTTATTTTCAATACATATTTGTCTTAGCTACGAGTCCATAAAAATAGATATTATTATTAATGACTTTATTAGTAACTTGGAAAGTACTACTACTGTAGAATTAAAATTGGAACCATATTAGTCTTTCTTTATCTAAAGAAAACTCGTGACTTAGTAAAATTTCTGGTTACATAAAGATAACTTTATTACCAACATCCAATTAATAGAATCACATGAAAATATAGGCAGATTATAGTTTAAGTAATGTTCAGTATTTAATGTTTGTAATGCTAAGCCTAAGAAGCTTAAATGGTAAATCACAAGTCTCCATCCATGTTTTATTATGTATGTATATAAATAAGAAAGACATGATTTTGAATTTTATTATTTTATTCACGTTTAGAAATGAAATGTTGCTTTCTCAGTGTTGTTTAACTGTTGTTCATCAGTTTAATTCAAATATTTCCTTCAATCTACTCATACAGTTGCTTACAGCATTCCAAATTTAATTACATTAATATATATATATATATATATATCATATTTAAGTTTGTTTTTAAGACTAGTGGCAAGACTTAGTTCTGAAATATGTTATTTTAGATGTTAAATTTGCTGCTGTTTCTAATAATTGAAATTATTTAATGAAAAGAATGTAAAGTCCAGTCCACTTAATAATAATAAAATAATTTTATTTCTTCAACTATAAAGTCTACAAGTTAGCTGAAGTAATGTTCAGTAAGAGGCCTGAGTTCATAATATACACTATTGCAACAAATTCTATTATTTGCTAATTTTATCGTATCTTTTATTCCAAAACTGAACTAACTGACAAACCCAATCAAATAACTCATGATTTCAGACTTGGTGTATCTTACTAATAGACTTGATAATAAAACTACTGTGGCTTTACTTGCATTTTATACTACTTAAACTTTTCTAAAACTTTTGAGAAAATTTCAGACTTTAAACCATGAGCTAATCACTTTGAGTTAAACATTCCTCTGACAAACACTACAAGCATCTCAATTAAAATATAGCCTACAACACTAGGTAACCTTGCAGTTTCAAGTGATGTAATCAGATTTTTCTTTTTGATGTGGTGAACTATAAATTCAACTCTTTTAGGGTATAAAAAATATTTTGATATGTTAAAAGTAATTTCACCAGAAAGAGCCTTCAGAAAGATTAACATGAACATTTTAAATAACTTTGGAGTACTATTACTACTGAATACTGTTTGTATTAATTGTGCTAATATATTTAGACACATTTTATAAACTATTTTATTTTATTTTAGTCGAATTCCAATGGCTACATTTCACGATGCTCGTCACTGTATTGTAGACATGGATCTAGATGAAACAAGGTTCCACCTGTTGACAGTAGGCTCGGATCGTATCATGAAGGTAACATTATGCGTGCTTATTTTAACTTCTGAAAAATGTAGTTCATAATAATGACACTGTAGTCCATGTTTCTGAGGATTAAGCAGAACCTTAAGATTTAAACTTTATAATGGAGTGAAGAAATTTGGAGGAGGAGGGGATTTTTGAAGGAAAATCACATAAATATTTGAATGACCATGACCAGCCACTGTTAAATTTTGACATATTTTGAATTTGAAGACAGATATTGATATCTTTGTATAACTTGCACAATTAATGAAAACTAGTATTAATAACTGGTCTGTAGGAGGAAATGAAGAAATGTAATAGTATTGATAAATGTAATTTTTGCTGACTGTTTACAAATACAAAATACTTGTTTTCAATACAGTTACAATTATATGGTGAAACCTTCATTATCCAGCTGTCAAATTTGCAGGCACCTCTATATGGGGCAGTAATTTAACTCTTTAGCAAAATTGTATAGGTGAATTTAAAACTTCATAAAATTAATTTATAGTCATTTTCTACACTTTTTCAAATACTTAAGTGTTTAAATTTATTCTGTAAAAAGGTTTTATTTATTGAATTTCATTTTTAAAAAATGTGATTTTTAAGTTTGGGTTGGTTTCAGTGGCCAATGATAGCAAAACAATTTTGTAGGGTTTTTTTTTTCTTCTCTATCTGAAAGTCTTATGATACTTTGCCATATTTCTGAGAAATCCATTTGCATTTTCCTACTGATACTACCTAATGAGAGGAGTATGGGATTTATCCTTGAATATTCTTTCTTTAGCTACATATGTCATAAATATTGCTAAAAATTTTCACTTGGACGTTATTGTATAGTCCGAGGTGTGTGTGTGTGTGTGTGCAGTATGTTAATATGTTTGCTTGATAAAAATAGAATGTTAGTGATTTGGCTTAAATAACAGGCCCAATTGTTTTGTATTTTAGAAAAACTTTTCATTTACTATAGTGGTGGATTTTGTGATACAACAACAAAAATAATCAAAATCAGCAAGTTTTCTGACAATGGGTAATCTTAGGCCTAATTAATAGGCAAATTATACATGTATTTTGTGATTGTTGTTTGCTCCTCTATACATTTACATGTACTGTAGTCTGTTTAGTAAAAAGTTATTTGAAAGCAATCTCAAAGTTACAAGCACCTGCCTGGATAATGGAGATTTCATTGTACTTTCTTCAAGAAAATATAATTAGATTTCCTCGAGACTGCAAACTGTAATAATAAAACAGTTCCAAAATTATACAAGTACATCTTTCACATAAACATTAAATACTTTTTTTTCATCTCTGAACAGATATGAAATATTATTTTTTATTTATTTATTTTTTAATTATCAATATGTTTTAAGACGACTGAGATAATTGAAAATATGACATCATTAGTTTTCTAACAGAATAACGTTTAGTCTGATATTCAAGTTATATTATTAAATTTGAATTTATTTTTTTAATTGCTTTTTGCTATAGCTTTGGGATGTAAGTAGCCTTCTAAACTGACCTTGTTAAGAAGCATTATGTATGGACAAGAGTATATTTGTGTTGTCTCCTGTAATCTTGTCAACCACACTACCAACGTAGCTACAAAACAACCAATTATTAGAACACTGTCCATCAGTTGTGGGTCCAACATGAATGTTCCAACAACATCTAGAGAGAGAGAGAGAGAGATCTAATGTTGGTGTGTGTGTGTGTGCTTTAATTTTTTTTTCTTGTTGTTGTTGTTGTTTTGAAAAAGTTTAAAATATCGAAGAAATGTGTATCATCAAAGCAACAAACTTTGGGTGGGGGTGGGGGGATTAACTTAATAGCTGTCAAGTGCAATCATAATTAATTTTTAGTTTTATTTCTTCTAAACTTTCTATAGTCAGTGAAGAAGGATATAATCGTATAAAATGTCTGCTAGGTGTGTTTCTCTCTTTCTGAACTTAACTCTAAGAAGAAAGTTGTAATATTGTGTCTACTGAGTGTCTTAGTTTTTCTCTGAACTTTGTTTAATTGGTGAAGAAAACTGTAATCATCATGTAACTGTCTTCTAGGTATTGTTATTTTTATGTGAACTTGGATCACTGAAGAATGAGTTAATCATAAAAATGATTGGTAGATGTATTTGTTTTTTCTTTGAACTTTGTTTAATCAGTAAAGGAAGGTGTAATAAACATATAAATACTAATTATAAGTTTCTTTGAACTTCTGAGTATGTGAACTTTGTATTGATAATACTATTAGTTGAAATTAAAGATTTGGCTGTTTTATAGTATTGAATAAAAATACTCAGTTTTGAATATAACAGAACCTGGTTAATTTGTACTAACATAAAAAAAACATTAACGTTCATAAATCTGAGGTTTAATGTTCTCTGATTTCTCATGTGTCTCTTGCTTTTTTTTAGTAAACTTCTGTGCATGAAATTTTTTGCATTTTCATTTTTATCAAAGAAATTTAGAGTTTTTCATCAATCATAGCCCCACCTCAAATAACTTGTGATTATCTAAGAAGTGTTTATTTATCATATAATTTGATGTTTCAACCTACAAAGGAAAGGTTAACAAAGAATAGTAATTTTTGCATTAAGATTTTGAAAAAGTTAAATAACTCTCATTAAGTTGATTTATAAATATAAATTTTAAAATGGATGAATTCTGAACAAAACAGAGTTTTTTATAAATCTCAATTTTATGACCATCGGATAAAACATAGTAATAAATTACATATCACACTGACCAGTGCTGCAGCATGAGTAAATATTTGTTAGTATATTCTTTTCTTAGGATTTGATTATACTTGCTACATGCATGAAGTTTTGTTATGCTGATATCCTAATGATACTGAAATAAAAAAACAAATTAGATTTTTTTTTACAGAACTTTCCCTATTTTGTATGATGTATATGATTTGAGTAAGTATTTTAAGTGAAAATGTCAAGATTTAAAATGGTGTGTGTTTCAAAACACTATTTTAATGTTTGATACTAATTTTTAATCTCATAATTTTGTCATAAGATATGATGTGAAGGAGTGATTTCAACAGTTTGTTTGTTTATACATGACATAAAACTTAACCTAAAACTATTAAGAAATGTTGTTAATTATATCTGTTAGTTAAATGTTAGGTCATATTTTCTTTTTTTTCTTTTATCATTTTACATGTGCTCCATATAAATTAATTTACATGTGAAAATTTCCTAATATTAATGAATTTAAACAGAAATGTGTTTTGTTTTTTTTACGTTTCTTTCTCTTGTTTCGAAAAGTATTAGATGGCTGTTAGGTAATGTACTCAACAGTTTATTTGATTTTACCAGCTTAAATTTCTTAAATGAAGGCACACATTAGCAAAGTCAAACATTCTGGAGATGTACCACATGGTGGTGGAAAATATAAATAATTACGATTAATTTCACTTGTATTATTAAGAATTATACAATAACATTTCTAAGAAAGTTGGAAGTTCATATGCAAAAGTAGTATTTAACAATTCATAGATTAAATAAGAAATGTGATATACATAGCTTTGGTTTATATATATATATATATATATATATATAATAATTTAGTTTTTTATTTTTGTCTATACTAGATACTTTATTTATAGTATAATTAGTTAATAATTTGTAGTAAATAGAGGAACTAA